GGCAGTGTAGAAAAGAGCCGGAGACTAAACCGAAGAACCGGTTCTAGAACCGGAAAGCTCTAGCACGGAGCTTGAACCGGAGTTGCGTTGGTGTGAATGAGGTAATAGTGCTTTTAAGACAAGTAGAAAAGAGTTGCAGGAAAGTAAGAGTCCTGTTGTTCATTACTATGTCGTCTTACCTGCTCTTGCTCTTCAACAGCTTGCTCTCTGGCAGAGAAGTGTTCGTCCCTCTCTGTCAAAGCAGCCGCTGCCTTCTCATTCAGCATCAGAAGCATCGGAGTAGATTTCTGCAGAAGGCCTCTGACTGTAGAGAGCTGTGAAAAATATGACCACGGAAAAGTATCAGTATTCTGAGCATTAATGCAGTTTCTAAACTGTAAGCACATTTCAGGAATCAAACTCCAATTGAAACAAACACGGCTGAGTAAGTAAGCTGCATTTTCATTGACTTTTTTTACAGCAAGATATTGTGACTTTTGGTAAAAGCAACATTCTGCGTGATGGTATTGTTACATCAACAGTTCCTCTTTGAGTCTCCTTTTAAAAAGATATACAGGATATATGCAGGAATCCTGAAGTCAAGTGTAATACCTTTTTTAAGACCCTTCCCATACATTTTAAGACCTCATCGCCACTTGGAGTTCTAACCGGTTACATTGGCGACACACTTGACCTCACATTGACTATATACAGTATTGATTGTCCTCCCTCCTTATCTTCCAACCATTTGGACGCAAACTTGCATTTCCCCATAACGATGTTGTTTAATAACCGGCATAAACGGACCTTCACGCGCTATCAAGCACTGAGCGTGCGATGTCCTGTTCAGATGACGTCAAATCCAACGGGATGCCGTAAATAAACCACAAAGAACTGCCGTTGCAGGAAAGACGGCCGGCAAAAATCTCCGACCGTGTGAACGTGAACATTAATAGAATATCACCTCCCATCTTCAGAGCAATCTGACTATTATAACATTAGCGTTAACAAAGCTTACTTAAATATCTGCCAGAACATAAGTAACCGGATCAAAGTAACAGTACAGTCAGCGGCATATCACATCATAATATATCTCCTTATCTGAGTCAGCTGAGCCGTATCTGGCCGTGCAACACTCAGTGTCACATACTGTATTCAGAAGTATTATTTTAAGCAACACATTAAGTTGACGAAACACTTGAGTCAAATGTAATTAAAGTGCGGTGCCCCAACAAATAGAATCAAATTCTGTAGGAAACACTGAACAGTTCCTATTTGAGTCTCCTTTTAAAAGATATATTAAACGTACTTCTTGCATCAAACTGGAATGTTCCTCCATGGTTGTGGACAAAACATCAGACGCAGAATCGAGCATTTCATTGTAGGCCTTGTTTAATGCAACCTGCAATAGTAGAGACAAAAATAATAAAGAGGAATAAAATAACATTCTGATGGATGTTCTGATGAAAAGATTGCAATAAAGCTTTTTGTTTCTGCTCGCTCTGTGTACCTGTTCTGGATAGGTCTGGTTTAGGGCAGCTGACAGTTTTTGCTGGGACCCCACAACCCTCTCCAGCTCGGAGATTTCTGAGGAACAGTGAGTCCTCAGCTGCTCCATCAAACTGAAGGCCTGGAAACAAAGACACGGTTAATGCTCCTGGAATACAGAGTGCTACGAAATAAATATAACTGCCAATAAAGATGTTGAAAATGTGCTTTGGAAGTTAACGAGATGGTAAAACTACTTCTGATTCATAATGTGTAAAGCTTAAAGAGCCTGTAATTTGTTTTTATTATATTCAGTTTCAGTTTTCTACAGACTTAATATCAGAACAGAAATGACTTCTTATCTTGTCTTTTCAAAACAAAAGCCTAATGTAGCCCTGGTTTATTGTGGACTTTATCAATACACAAATAAAATCCTCATGCTTCAGAAGAGCCACATGAATAAGTATTAGAAAAGCTATCATGGTATTAGAGACCAAACATGCATTAAACTAGTTAACCCTCTGAGACTCACATAGGACATTTCCGTTTTTGTATATTTTTGTGTTTTGCCTTATAAATTCTATTTTTTTTACAGTATAATAAAGTTTTACACATCCCAGAAATCAGCACAACCTCAGCTAATGATATATGTCACTCATTAGAGAGTTATATACAATGTAATATGGGATATTTGCCCATAAACAATTTTTTTTATTTTTATAAACGGAGCTTGAATTTTTTACTTATTTCATTAAAAATAACTGCTAACCATAACATTGAAAAAATACATTCAAAACAGACAATTGCGCACATTTATTATCATAGTATCAGAACTGATTAGAAGATTTTTAACTTCTTCTGTTCATTAGTTATGCCCATTCTTTTTGGGCAGTTTCCATGGGCGTTTTTTTTGCCAGGAATTGTCTTTTTTTTTGTCAAGACTACACATGATATATATCATGGCAGTTCCTTTCCACAATCACACATGGCATGCCGTCAGATTCGTCTGAATTGTCATCAACATCGTCCACTTGAAAAATCTGCTCCGAAGCCTCAGCTGTAGTAAACTTCCTTGGCATACCTCAGTTTACTTTCAAAACACTAAAAGAACGTATTTCAACTTTTATTTTGTTTTCGCAAGTGGAATTATACCGGCTCTCGTTTCAGAACACAAAACAATGGAACTGACTCTGAATCCGATTGGCTGTGACTGCATCCACTCAGAGTGTCCGATTCAGAAATGTGACTAACGGCCCGTCCACGCACAGGCATGAAAAAAATCTTGAAAAATCTTGATGCTGGGCGTGTCTGAAGCTTGGCGATTTCACGCGCCCAAGGCGACCAACAACCAATCAGGAATCTCCCAGGAATCTCCCGCCCGCCCCCGGCTTACAAAGCCTGTCCATTCAATGTTAAAACGAAGTAAACTGGATATAAAATCCCCAAACAGGTGAAAACCTACCAGTTTCACCAACTGTCTCTGCCACCTCCCTCCATGCCTGGTTCCTCCGGTTTAGGTCCCGGTAGGTGAACAGAGAGCAGTCGTAAAGGACCGGGACATTTCCTACAGCGATGATTAATTTATCCTCCATTTTAATATGGAAAAGACCGCAGCGGTATCTGCATACAGTACACGCGGTTTGATTGGCTAGCGCTTGCACTGGCGGGATTTGCATAAACGGGATTTGATTGGCTGATGCCAGCTTCGCAAGCATCGGGAGCATCAAAAGTTGAACATTGCTCAACTTTTGATGCTCACGATGCTTGCAAAGCCATGCTCCGCTCCCCACAATGCAGTTCGGCGAAGATTACAAATCTTCTACGTCACCCCATTCAAGTGAATGGGCGAAGCTTTGAAAGATTTTTTTCATGCCTGTGTGTGGACGGGCCGTTACACTCTTTACGTCACAAACAAAGATGGTGGATGAGAATAGACTTATAAAACATACAAAGCGATAAGCAATGCGCCAGAATCAAGGTGAGACTATCCGCATCTTTTAAAACTTTACGCACATCCGTTTCACCGAAATAAGTAAACGCCTCTCAATGAAAAACGTAATAGAGTTGTTCAGTGCCGTTTCTGTAGTTTAAGAGGAAAAACACGGCATGTCTCAAACAGCTGAGAAGTTATGACGCTTTGAACACAACGTGATATTTGGGATCGTATACGGCCCCGTGGCTCTCAGAGGGTTAAGTCACATAAATAATACAGATGTTTGTCACTTACCGCCTCATTGGCTGCGATGGCCTCCTCCATCTGTGCCCTCATGTCATCTCTTTGGTGAAGAGCGTCTTTGACCTTCTGCATCATTTTTTTCTGCGTCGTCTTTGTTTTCTCAAAGAGAGACTTCATCTGACCGTACTAAACAGCACAAGGAAGATTCACATCAACGAAGGCATACCCAATTGATTTGACACAGAATGAGGGAAGAGGCGTTTACATACATGTGAAACAAGGCTCTGGTGGTCATCTCTGACAACGTCTCCCATCTTCTTAGTGCTAGAGAGAGCGGCATCCGTGTCACCACTCAAAGAAGTCTGTTGGGACAAATGCACACATCAATGTTATTAAAGAGCAAAACCAGGTGTGTCAATGCATTATTTAACCATGTAAGAGCATTTTTACATTACATTACATGTTAGACGCTTTTATCCAAAGCGACTTACATACTGTGGACAATCCCCACAGGAGCAATTTGGGGTGAAGTGTCTTGCCCAGGGACACAACGACATGCTGACTGCAGTGGGGTTTGAACCTGACCCCCTGATCCAACACCTACGGACAACCCACTGCGCCACACGCCTCCGCGCCTCTCATCTATAAAGTTATTACAATTGTGCTAGACAGTGATTGTTTATGTCTCACCATGGTGACCCGCATGTCCTGCATACACTGGGTGAGGTCCTGTAGAGAACTCACGTCCAACTCCAACTCACCAATCCTGTTCAGAGCCTCCAAATATAGGTCTCTTAACATTGTTGTCTGTATGGAACATAAAACTAAAAGTAAGTCATAACAAAGATTGAGGATGAACTAAAAAGAAACTTCAGATGTCGTCGTAGTCAAATATTTCATGCTACAAAAAGTACAACTTCAAAATGCTATAAATATCTCCTTTTGTTCCCTACCTGACTCAGTTCAGTGTGGTCCGTCTGCACTTGTTTCTCCCTGAGGTCTGAAGGTGGAGGGCCTGCAGAAGAACATCCATTTGCTCTGGCTGCATCCAACTGCTGCACAAGAGCCTCCACCATGATCATGCTTGACCTTAACCTCTGCTCCAGCTCTTGTCGTGAGAGACCCTCAAGGCTGCCTGGGTGGAGGCTGAGAGCATATCAACAGAGGGAGAGTGAGAGGCAGACACAGAAAAACACATAACTATGAATGATCCGTGTTATGATCAATAATCATTGGCAACTTATCCAGATCCCGTTAAGACTTACTTCCACAGGATAGGGTCAGTCAGAGTGCAGGAATCAGCCACAGTGAAGATCCTCTTCCTCTCAAATTGGCCAGATGTATTGACGCTGTGGTTCAACCATTTAACAGGAGTGGTGCCCACACAGACACCGTGGGATTCTGCAGGAGTAGCTTTTGCAGATGGGACTGTGACAGCATCAGCAGGAGTAGAGCCAGCAGCAGGACACATCTTCCCTGATGCTAAGAAAAGGAACTCTGCCATCTGCCGAAGCTGCTGCTGAAGGGGACCGTCTGGAATCAGGGGGAATTCCACAGCTGGCTTCTCTACTTCAGACTGAGGCACAGCAGAAGGCTTCGCATCCATTTCCTTAACTGGTTCAGGGACTGGTTTTGGCTGGGGCTTGCAACCAAGCACTGTAGAGTTAAACAGAGGACACGGCATGGGGCTCTCCATTCGCTCCGTCCAAAACCCAGGAGGGTCGACGTTAAATGGAGCAACCAAGCTTTTTTCACACTCAAGAGCTGGATCCTCAGCCAACAATTGGTCCAAAGCAGGAACCTTGAGGGCCTTCAATACAGCCAGAGAGGCTCTCCTTACAACAGGACTGAGCAACTCAAACTGAAAAGGCAATGTTCCTGACTCAAACCGCACTCTGAACCTTTCAGGTAGGTTTTTTACCTGAGGTTTTTCTGGTTCAGTTCCAGATGAACCGAGAGCACTGTCTTTTTCTTCACTGTCTATGGGTTCAGTTCTCTCTGCAGAAGCCTCAGGGTGGCTCAGCATTGAAGGCAACACACTGTCCTCAGAATGCATCGAGTCCTTTTTAGAGGTTTCTTTCAACTCTAGAGATTGGTTAGTCAGGGAAGATGAACTGATAGCTAGTAGGTCAGCATTGACCACAACTTCATCATTTTCCACATGGCTGTACGGTAGTTCATCTTGAAGCTGCTCCTGTGTCATGGCAGGAGGTTCACTGATGTCATCCAGGGGCTGGCCAATCACAGCCTGGTCGTCAGTCAGGGGGGAAGGTTTCTGAGAGAATTCTGTGATGTCTGATATTTCTCCGTCACTTCTGGCATTGATGAAAGAGCTGAGTGTAATAGCCTCTTGACTCCCAGTCTGACCATCAGGTACCACCAAACTAACCTGTTGTACTTCATCAACATCATCAAGGCTGAAAGGTAACGGTCCCCTGAATGAGTTATTTTCAATATCATAGTATGGGTGATCTAAATGATCACTACTGTTTTTGGCATCTTCTTCAAAAGTTATCATGTTTGGATTCATGCCATAATTGTATGACTCACTGCCGGTAGCTGTTTGGTTAACTGGAAGAGGAATAGTCTCATCTGCAAGTTTGGTGCCATCACAAATGTCAACCATACCTCCAGTGCAGTTAAATGATTTGAAGGTTACATCATTCTGTCCATCAGCAGGCTGTTCAGGACCGTTTGTTATTTCAGCGAAAGTGGTGCTGACAGGAACGCAGTTTTCTCTGCTAAAGTAGAAATGATCGGCATGCTCTACTGGACACAGCTCGCCACACTTAGAGAGATCTGGAGAATTCACACTGTCCTCTTGCAAAGGTTCCCCTGGCTGGTCATTGGGCAGAGGAATGGTCGTATCTTGTAGTCTGGTGACATCAGCCACTTCCACCTCACCGCCATCACAGACAAAGGATTTCCAAGTTACATCGTTCTTTCCACAGCAGTCATCCTGAAAGGCTCGGACATCTTGTGTAGCAATTCCATCATCCAAGTCTCCAGAGGTTAGACTCGTGTTGGAAATTTCACAGGGACACGATGCTTCATTGTCAACCAAGGAAGCATCTACAACCTCAGGATTGTAATAGGCGTGTTCGATGTGGTCACTGCATGACTGAACCGCTATACTGTCAGAGAGGATGGTATCTTCCGTTTCATTAATGGTTGCCATAGACTGATCCTTGGGCAGAAAAATACTTTCTTCTGCACACACAAAGGAGCTTGCAAGCTCAACCTCACCACCAGGACAGATGAAAGATTTAAATGTTACATCTCCAAGTCCACAAGCTGACACAGTAGTTGTTAAATCAGTAGTGGGAGCATTGATGTGAATCCCTTTTGTGGATGGAGAAGATTGCAAGTGGGGCTCTGGGTCACAGAGAGGGCCATCCCCCTGTTGATCAGAATGGATGGAAAGTAAGAAAAAAGTCACACAGCAAAAACATAGGAGCATTTACAAATATAAGTATAGCCCCACCTTAGTCAGTTTCACAACATCAGTCCGCAGTTTTGATTTGAGTCTGGAGGATGGAGTTGACAGATACAGCATTTCATTCTGCAGACTTCTCATAGGGGTACGCTCTCCACATCTGCTTGAAGACTAAAATGTATGTCATAGGCACAGTAGATACAGTGTAGAATCAGAATCGGTAGGTTTACACATACGAGAAATTTGCTTTGGTATATGTGGTGCATTCAAAAACACAGAAAGAAGTATAAGTAGCAAAACCAAATTAAAAAATAAATATATATATAATAAAATTAAAAAATTAAATTAAAAAAAACTGTATAAAATAAGATTATAACAAATTAACAATATTTACATAAGACTATATACTGTATCTAAAGTGGAGCTGTGCCGTTTCTAAAGAGGTAGTGTGGAGAAGAAATGTGCAACATGTGCAGGATATAAAAATGTTATGATGTGATTTTACTGATGTGCATTCATGTAATGCGTAATGTTTTTCTGCGGTGGATAAAAGTTATGGCAATGAAAATCTTAAATCCCAGGTTCCTCCAACAATGCAACATTATATACTGTATTGAATACATCACACAATAACAAAATAAAAGGTCAACGGAAGTCAAACTGAGTATTGTATTAGTTATAGCTTGTTCAGACATATTTTAATAACAAACACTGCTGATCAAGAAAACAAAAGTCTTACCGAGCCTTCCCCACTGGAACTCTTCCTGGATGACATTGCACCGGAAGACTTATTTACAACTGGAAATGAAGACAAATGATTGTATATTAAACTTGCTTTAAAAAAATGGTTTAAACAGTTTGGTGGACAAAGTCAGTTTCTAACATTAACAATAGCTAAGAAGCTAACGTTACTGACAATACGTGTCGAGCATAGACAGTTGGCCAGAAGTATCTTTATGTTTAGGAGTACAATTATACGCAATAATAACACCTTGCCAACATTATTAACTTAACTTGAGTGTATGAAGTAACGCTAAATTATCTCACAATGTGTTGCTAAAAATAATTTAAACAAGGGCGTAACGCTAGCTAACGTAAGCAACGTCAACTCAAGTTAGTTAGCACCATAGACTGTATATATAAAGGTTTGCACCGGTTAGCAGACACCTCAAAGCGTCAACTAACGAACATTTTTAAACCAACCAAACTATGGACTATGACATGTAAAATCAAGTTTAACCACATTACCTTTCAACTTTCTCCAACAAAACGTTGCAAAAGCTACGGTAAATAAACATTTGGCGTCGATCAGCCATCAACCGCGTTTCGTTCAAAACACAAATATCAGCGCTGCTATTGGTCCATTCTTCTTCTTCGGTGGTTTTCTGACACAGGCGTAACGCGTACTATGTACTATAGCACATTACCGCCCCCAGCTGGGAGTTAATGTCACTACATTAGACACATTTAAATTGACACCTTTCCCCTTCGTTGCCAGGAAACGCTTTCTTTAGTTTTTTTTTACAATTGTATTCTTTAACATAAAAATAACTCTGACCATTGCGTATGTTTAAGTTTACTCCTAACATATTACAAAAAGGAATAATGTATATATTAGTTATAATCATATAATCATTATTATTTTATTACTATTTTGAAAATGTTGCCCCTTATTTAAGCAAAAATACTAAATAAGTTAAGTAAGTAACTAAGTCAAGTATATTCGACAGGTGCATGTGTTTACATCTTCCACAAGCCTTGACCGAAAATACAAATGTAATCATTTTCTAAATCATGAAGAGACACATGAGAGAAGTGGGCAGGCCTTCAATAGTTGATAAGAAAAAAGAAAAATAATCAAAACAATTTATGTCATTTGTAGATCATCGCTGTAGCTTCCTTCTAGAAATAGAAAGTATAAACAAGGACAACAAATAAAAAGGCAATTCTGTTTCAAAAATATTTTATTTAATCAACTCATTTGTAACTGAATGTTTCCCGGCTTTTCATGTGTCTGATTAAAAGGTCTCAATGATATTACCACTTACATATTTGTCAGTAGAGAAATGACCGGAAATGTCTAAGTAAGCGCAGTTTTTTTAGTCTATCGAGCCACAAAGCTTTCATCAAATTATTTCTCACACCGAGACAACATTTTGCTCAACAGGTCGGACCTGCAGCACCTCAGCAAAGCCTTTTCCGAACCAGCAGGTGATGTCAGCTGAGTCCAGGATGAAGTAGAAGAGCCTGTCCCTGCAGCGTGTCCTCCTGTGGATGGACCGCGGGTCTGCAGAAAGCACGCCTCTGATGGCAGCAACAGCCTCCTCTGTACTGCGGAGAAACCTGAACCTGGGTCTGTCACTTTCAGAGGGTCCTGTGTGGCATGAAGGTGCACTCTGTTATTCTACAAATATTTATTCATTTATTATAATGCATGCAAGCTGAACATACAGGAACGTATACATGTTACTGTGCATACTTGGTGGTTTTTCATAACAGCACCATCTTGTGGACAAAACAAAAAATCATCTTTCTCTGGTTCATTGATTTATCCTTCCTGTATTTTAAAATGTAAATACAGAGTTATTTACTTATATATTTAAAAATACTAAATATGTATCATTTACAGTATTTGCACCTAGTGTTTTTCAGAAATGTTTGTAAGTTTTCCTCAGACATTCGATTAAGTGCCATTCAAAGACACACTAGGGATTGTTATCATAACCCCTAATCAATTATCATTCAAATACAGAGGATAATCCTTTTGTAACAACCAACTTTCATCACTTCATACAACATTTACTTAATTATTTAAAAAATATCTAAATTTGTGAGGTTTATAACCCTTAAAGGTCTCCTATTATACTATTTTTCATCAATCTATTATATGTCTCAGATATATACAAAACATGCCTCTGAAGTGTTTGGCTCCAAACACCAAACAGATCATGCATTGCAGCATCCCATAATTCAAAGATGTATTGCCATGTCATATGCACAACTACTGTGCAGTTATGCAATAAATGAAACACTTGGGTCACAGGTTCCTGGACAGTACAATTACAAGACAAATATTTGTATTTAGGTATATATGTGCAAATAAGCTAAACAGGCTACTGTAATGCTTACAGAACGTTTAGCTTACCTGACAGGTGTGTGGGAAGGAAGTCTGCTAGCTCTTTCTGAGCCTGAGGAGTGAAGCGCACCTGCAGACTGCTGACAGGAGGCTCTCTGATCCAGCCAGCGATGGTAATGTAGGCCTTCTCTCCATAGCAGGGGTAGTCCACATTACACTCTGGTGCTTTCGTTTTGGGAGAGTCTGAAACTTGATCCTCACTTGCACAACTCAGCTGGAGTTCCCCTTGGGTCACATAAGCCCTGACCTCATCTAGCATTTGGTGGATGTTTTTGTGAAGGGGCAACTGAGCACTTACTGACTGAGAGGAATCTCGGACGGGAATACCAGCTTCAGGTTTGTCTTTGGAGAGGAGACTTACTAAGGCTTCGTCGTCATTTTTGTCACTTTCTAGGTCTGATTGAGCATCTGTTTTTTGGTCTGTGATTGGATCACAATGCTCTTTGTCCAGCCTTGAGTGGGGGGAGTCGTAGTCTGGGATGTATGGTTTGATGTCCAGGACTGGGGTGCCAGCAATCATGTCAATGTCTGACAGATGTACGGTGTCCCCTAGAAAATAAAAGTGAGAATGCATTAGTTTCTATAAAGCTATATGTTTATGTGTTTATGTATATGTTTGAACTGCAAGCAGGAAAAAAAGATATTATGCTATACATGCATTAAGAGTTTAAAATCATGATGTCTGTTAAATCTGTACATAGGGGCTCACAACTCGTATACACACAACGGGCAAGCAGTTCGCAATTGAAGAAACATGTTTTCATTAATTACACTTACCGTCAATTTTATCAAGTCTAGCTAGAGTTAGGCCCAAGGCATTTGGTCGGTGCGGACTGCGTGTCGAGTACACACCAACTCTCTGACCGTTCAGTCTGGGAGGCTTCACTTTGGCTTTGTAATTCAAGTGCCCATTTTTGTGAAAGAGAAAGATGATCCTGTATAGAACATATGGGGAAAAAAACATAAAGATGACATGAGAAAAACAGTGGATACATAAAGTCCGTATGTATAGCAGAGGCAGTTGTGTTGAAATGGGCAGAAGTTCATTTGCAAAAGTGAAAAATTCCCTTTGACCATCAAACACTCTACAAAACATTTCTTAAGCCACAACCCACTTAAAAATATCGAAACTCTCCCTTTCAGTGATAACACACAGTAAACACAATGTAAGACACCTACCAGACATGGGAGTATTGCTCCAGGCCCACCAGAGCGTGCTCAGGGTTATTGAAGATACTCTGCTGGATGCGCAGTTCGGCCCTTGAGGGGCCACAGATGGTGGGCTGTCTGGGTGTACCATTCTTCACAGCGAAACAGGAACTGATGTAACCAATGGGGACAGTCTGGATGTTTCCTGGAGGGTTACACAGATAACAGCATTTTATTACATAGATGCTTCTTTCTTTTTCTGTACTAATTTAGAACATTGTAACAACTACATCTATTTTGTACTCCGCCACTCGCTTTGTTTTATGTGTGGATGTGTTTCTACTGTCATGTTATATAACTATGAATGTTTTTCTCCATGCATATATGCAATTCAGCAAGAGGCAACTTTCCTTCAACCTTTTTTATATTTTTGGCTCTGTGTACATTTTATATATTGATATTTAAAAAATTGGACATTTATTGATATTTTATATTTGCACTTCAGTGGCCAAATTACATTACATTAAAATGTAGGTAATAAGTCATAAGTAAGTAAAGCTTATTTATATGACAGGTTTTAAAATATGAATTACATGTTTATAATTACATTTTAAGATCATTATCATTATTATTATTTGTATAATGAATATTCTTCTTCATATTATTATTAGTAATAGTAGTAGAAGTATTTGTTATACTATAAATCAGCACATATGGCACACGTTTTTTTTACTCTAGGATAAATAAATGATTTATTATATTATTTTATGATGCAGTAATGAGGTGTCGCAATACAGAATACACCGCAGATGTTTCTTCTGAAAAATAATTAGAGCTGTTTTTATTTACCATTGTAGATGACTGTACTGCTGGTTATTACCATAGACTGTATATATAAAGGTTATTACCTTGCTCTAATGCCTGTGGTGCAGCTAAAGGCGGTGGAGGTGCCTGCTCTTTATCAGGTTCACGGAGGCCAATATTTGCCACAGCAGACCGAATGGATGTCATGTGTTTCCGATGAGCTCTACCTGCACCGTCCAATATCTGCCTGTTAAAGAAGAAGAATAAGCAAATAATAAAAACGTAATTTTAAATATAGATAAAACATAATGTCTTTAAAGGAAACGCAGCGGTGTAAATGAATGTCTACTGAAGTTGACAGACAAAAAATAATCAACACAATGAAATATATATAGTTACAGCTGTCATAAAGTTAATGGTACAGTCCTATCTTCACATACCTCAAGTTCTTTATCTCTTTTCTCATCACTGTTATTTGCTGGTTCAGTTTTTCAACGTGCTCGCCGCAGCAGTCACACCGAGGACTCATCTTTTTGATATAATGGATGAAAAAAAACACAGTAATGATTATGTTAGCTTCAAGCTAGCTGCCTGACATACACACTGAAGAAACACGTGGTCGTTCTCAATGCGGAAGCACGATAGTGACTTCCTGTTGGCCAACCAGCAGTGTTTCAGGTGTCACAACTAATCCGAACAGCTCAACAACATTTGTGTCGTTTTGTTGCATCCTGAATAATGTGCACTGTAATGTATTAATGTTACACATTGTTACATATCACTGTTGAAGAAGTCATGGATAATATGCCCTAGTTTAGCAGGCACTGCATGTTTTATATCAGCAGAGGGCAGGCAGGAGTTATGACACAGTCACCATTTCTATCTTTTTCAGCAGCTTTATTTAGGAATCAGAACAAGGAACCAACCATAGACTGTATTTATAAAGCCAAGCCAAACAAGTAAAGTATTGTAGAGTATTGTCCATGAGAATTGTATTTCCTTAAACTACATTTAAGAGATAAATATTGTGCTTTGTGCATTTATAAATAATTCCACATTACCTTCGGAAATGAATGCTTCTTACCAGCTAATGCATCACCTATATATATTTGTAATAATATTATATTGGCCATTCTGTAGCATGATAAGCACCTGAGATGTTATTGCTAATCATTTCTATTTTGAATGCAGGACTTCTGGATGTAATGGAGTGTTATCACATGTTGGCTTTGGTATTTTGAAGGAAGTTAAGAATCCAAATACTTCTTTATAGATGTTAAGTTAACTAACAGTTTTACGAACAGACAGAGGAAATGAAAGCCAGTTGTTGAACAAGACTGAACACACAAGGCGCAGATGGAATATATAAATATATTTTGTATACTTTGTAAGCAATGATTACATATTATAGTTTTGCCATTTATCACTTTGAGTGTTGCTAGAGCATTTGTATTTTCTAAGTGAAATTTGGCAATAGTTTCTCTATCCAAGTAAAACAAATATGACACATTATAGATATTGCAAAAGAAGATTGATCCTATGAAAACTTACCTAAATGAATGATCATAAGGACCTGTAGAAAATCACCAGCAAATATATGGTCTTAACACCATTTATAGGATAATTGGATGAGGGATAAAAATGTATGAGAAATCTAATTTAGTATAGGTTATTAAGATATCACATAATAACTAACAAAGATACAAAAAAATGACCACAGTCAGATGTAGTAAGCAGTGTATTTTATTTGCTGGAAAACAACTTTTACAAAATTCTATCAAATAAATCTGTAACCACAAATACATCATTACCAATGATTTATACCAAAACCTTTTTTTAAAAGCAGGTGTTGTTTACTAAATGCAAAAATACAAAATAGAATTCATGAGCTTCGCAGCAGAAACCAGAATAAATATGCTCGATATGTTTGTTCTCTTTAACTAACAGGATGCACACTAACCAAAACAATACTCAAATACAATCTATGACCGAAAAAGGATAATAGTCTGGGTAGGGGCAGTATCTGAAAAGTGTGTTTTAGAAAATTAAAAGGCATTTCCTGGAAAATATCTTTGTGGAGGAGGTGTCGAGGACCAGGTGGGAATTGAGAACATTTCGTTTTGTTCAGGGACGTTGATCGATGGTGGCTCAATCAGATCTAAAAAAACAACAGGATACAGAAAATATTAAGACAAAGCACAATCCCTTAAAGAAAGCAATGTTTAAACATTTCGTTTTTCACACCTTTCATTCTCATTGCAGAGTCAGTTTCTTCTTTATTACCTTCCTCAGCTGTTTGGTCTTGAGATGGAGAGATGTCTGCCTCCTCATCTGGGTCCAAGTCCTCAACATGGACCGGGCCAATGGCCTTCCTGCCTTGTGACTCTATGAAGAGGGTCTCCACCTGAGGAGGGGCTGCAGGGGGGGCAGGGGCTGCAGCTGGAAAGGGGTCCAGGATCATGACTGGAGCTGGGACTTGGACTGGAACAGCTTCTGGAACCGGAGCCAGATCTTGGACAGGGATTGGACTCATATCAGGGATTTTAGAGGAAGCTGGAGCAGGAGGTGAAGGTGAAAAAAGATCAGGAAATGGGATGAGTGGGGTCGGAGGAATCAGAGAAGGAGCAAAGAAAGGATTTTGGATGTCTCCAAACACTGGTAGAGGAGCAGGGGGAGCAAGGGCAGATGAAGGTTGTGTTTCCACAGCTAGAAGAGATCCTTGAGCTTGAACTGGGATGTCCTCCGCAGGTTCAGGTCCTTCCTGAGGCCCTGCCGCCGCCTCCTCCTGAATGACGGGTATCTCCGACGTGAGCTCACTCCTCTTGGGCCTCCCTCTCCTCTTTGTGCCACTCTCAGCCCTGGGTCTTTTCCTCTGGCTCTCCACCCTTTCAGAGTACAACAATTGTAATTGACCTGAACAGCAGCAGACATTGATATAGCTCTTTGTGATACTCTTGCAAAGCTGATACTACAAAGTCCTTGACCTGGAACTGGGATGTCAATAGAAACACATGATCAACCTTTGCTTTCCTTTTGCCCCATATTCAATATAAAGCAGTGGAGTGATAAGCAGCTGCAGCACTGATAACGATTTAACCGCGTTTGTGGAGTAGTGTTTTATCAAGCAAATGTTGTTAGTAAAGCCTTACTAAACATTAGTAACTAATACTACAACTACATTTTTTACACTTCATTGCATGTAAACAAATATTTGCTAATATACTGATATTTCTGCAATGCTAGATCTATGATGTTTACTCCAAGTAAACTTAGCTGTTAATGTAAATGCATTGCATTGCACAACATTGGCTGTGCCTTTTATACATTTACCCTAAAACCCACTGGTTAGTCTCCTTGTCTTCTGCTTCAGCTTTTCTTTTCCTCAGAAGATCCCTGTCACGTAACCGGCGACGGATCCCACCTATAAAACAAAGAAACCATGCTAACAAAGAAAGTATGAAATCAAAAACGAACAGAAATGTTTTTATGCATACTTCGGTGACTGATGGTATACATGAAGGATTGGTTTATAGACAGCTAAACACTGGCAACTCTATGACTGAACCATTTCCACACAAGGGTTAAAAATACAGAACAATTCCACAAGTATCACTTTTCTTGTGGCAGCCTTTTAGCTGTTGATTAAAGTATCTGTCAACTAAAAGACCACACAGTTTGAAAATGAAGAACTGGCTTAATTAACTTTGTAGTGTGAAAAGACTTAAGAACTTTTAAAAGTGAAGTCAATATTAAAAGTTACCTTGTTCCTCATTCTGATTTTTATTTTCTGACTCTTCTTTCTCTTGTTGAAATGTCTCCTCCATTCTGAGTCCTGCTATGAATTAATCCAACTCATTGAAGAAGGTCAAGCACAGAAATAAGACTGGATAACTTCTGACTGTTTTCTATTCCCACCCCTAAATGAATTATCTGGTTAACCATTACCAAAGTGCTGCGAGAGTTCTTGCAGCTTTGGTCTTATCATATTTGTAAAGCTGGAGGAGTTGGCACAGCATAGACAGAGAGAAAGAAAAAGACCAGGTCAAGTTGTGTGAGGGCATTTAGGGATATGCATCTGCCAGATGGTAAATACATATACAATTTGGGTTAAGTAGTCTTAATAAAACTAGTAAACAGACTCTTCTGTTTACATGCATGGCTCTGTGCAAGCCAGCAGATAAAAGAAAAGCGGAAATGTTGCTTTTTTTTTGTAGTAATGCTAAAACATTGACTGAATTCATGTAGAAAAATATTCAATGTTTAAACAGCCTAATATTGTTTCTGCACACAAAAACGATTCAACAGTTAACTTAAGTGAAATAACTGAAACCCCATCAATAAACAAAGCTGTTGTATTCAAGGTAAATAGATATTTGGCTTTTACAGCAACATACAGTATTATTAAGTACGTAAAATATGTGTTGAAAAGCCATCAGATAGTCTGAGACCAGGCAAGATATCCTGTCTTTAGCCAGAGCACTGGCATACCCAGCTTATCTCACAGATGGAGAGCTGCTCGGTTGGGGTGTGTTCTCAATCTTCTCACAGCACATTGAGCACTGATGTGTGTGTTTGAGACACTCTGAGAAAGAAGCAGTCCAGCAGAGTAAATAACACTCAACTGCCAATTGCCTCCAGCACTGTAGGGGAAATGCTGAGGGTCTGTTAAATTCAAGGAGCATCTTGCTATTCACACACATTCTATACTAAGAGGACTGTATGTCAATCTCAATTTCCTGCATGTCAATCTCAATTTCCTGCTTAGTATAGATGGACATTTGGCAGCAGACAAGTCGCAATGGGAAATGTGGTAAGTCGCAATGGGAAATGTGGTAATTCGCTTTTTATTCTTTAACTCACCTTGCAATGCCAAGTATTATAACCTCGGGGACACCCACACTGGGACGAACAAACTGTCCCAACGTCAATCAGGAGCTAAAAAACACACTACCTTGAACATTTAGCAGCACATTCATTAAAAATGGTGACTTCCAGCTGACCAAAGACCAGATAATCTCTCAGCTGATAAGGAGTAAAGACTCGTTCAAAGTATGAACATTTTATTTAAATAACAGATTAGTATCAGCATTAGGCTACTGGAACAGCCAAAGGCAAAAAAAAAGCTGTCACTCACATACAAATCCCTACTATTGCACAATGTAGCTATTATTTGAGGAAGTTCAAAGCAGCTATGGTGCCATCTTCTGGTGTATATATTCAACTACCTAACACACATTTTAAAGTCGTATGTATAACTTGCACTAGGCTGAAGACCATTTCCATAATTTGCCCTGAACAGTGGACCTACAGCTTTAAAGCCCAAACCTTATTTATTTTTTGTTTAATATTTACAACCAACACTAAAAATGTATTCATAATCTCACCAAAGTACAGAATATAGTTGTATATTCATTTTTTTTATTTCTGAAAATCAACTACTCATATTCAGTAGACTTTTACTTGAGGGCTCTGGTGTCTCAGGAAGTAAGGGGGGTGGGGTTGTAGGGGCGCACTCCATGTGCATATACAATGCTCTCTTTACTGCAAACCAAACACACCCCTCCTCTCAGTGTCGAAACGGTTAAAGGAATCTGGAATTTATGAACAAAAAGTACAACACAATTGATCCATTAGGCACTTTATTGGTACAAATTGTTACAAAGATTACACATTCATAAACAATTACAATTGTGAAATTGCCAGGCAACAGGTTTTTAGTAAAAATAAAATATATGTTCGCCTTATTTACACATCCAGTGTGAAGCAACAACAATATAAAGATGCATATAAATAACGTGGACATGTTTTAAGCTTTGCAAACTTTCACTTAAGTTGATAAACAAAGTTGAACATTTGACCTACTTTGTCGATGTATATTTGGTAAATGCTGCTACGCGTATACTATATACAATTTTTAGGCTATTCTTTGTTTAGCAAACGTGACTTTAAAGACAAAGAACTCGTGTCTTCTCCAAACGTAGTACAGTACTTTCCTTGCAGAAATAAATTGCACCATAGCACTGTTTCGGGGCAGCGTCATGTTTTGTGACTGCAATGCCTTCATAGAGGCGATGGGCGTTTCTGGACGCAGATGGCGCTGTTGAGCATATATTTTTGTTCAGTCCCGTTTCCCTCCATGGTTTCTCCTCTCTCCGACTAACTTAGCGTTTGGCTCAGTTCATTATACAGTCCTATATTCTCCCTCCATTAGGGCATCTCTGCCTTTGGACTGAAGATCCCACCAAAACCCAAGAGAGAAAAGTTTCACTTTCATAGGGCACGATGGACATGAAAAAGAGGATCCACTTGGAGCTAAGAAACAGGACACCGTCTGATGTGAGTCGTGCTTTTTTAAAACCAACCCTTAGTTTTCTGGCTAGCCTTTTGCTAGCAGCTTGCTACTTTTTTGCTTTGCGAGTGACCTGTGTGGCTAACGTAATGGTGACCACATGGGATTTAGATTGTGTTTCTTGTTCATAATAGGGCGGAAAACACTCAAGCTTAATCTTTTAAACAGTTCAGGATTGGGCGTATAGGGGCAACGAGAGGAGAAAAGCTCAATTGAATCGTTACTTTGAATCGGCGATTCCTCAGCTTGCTGGCATTATTGCAGTGGTTTAACCGTTTCGCAGCCTCCTTGGTGAACACACGATTCAGCTCAACCCCCCCTTTGTACCACTATTAGTAAACTTATTTTTACGCTGATATATATTACGAAATATGCTTCCTGCGCCGCGTTTAGCATTCAGAGAGCGGTATATTTTACTCAGACCTTGGAAGCCATGTTTGCTGCTAGCATAACTGCTAAAAATTGGGCGCTTTGTATCACAAATGATCGGTACAACTCCACTATCGTGCTAAAACATCGGTTGTTGTTACATGTGAACGGGCAGATCACGAGTTGTATGCCTTTACATTTCTGTATAGTACGTTAATAGCAAATGGTCAGCAGATTCAACCGCGACAACAAAAAACAGTCACTTGATTCACGAGTCATCCACACCATGACCATTTAACGTTAAGCCAGTGTTACTATAACAACAGTTGTTCTATCAAAACTGTAACAAATAGCCAACTGTATCCGTTATTGTAAATCGTTGAAAGCCACGTTTAAGTCGATTCGTCATTTTTTTGTTAAAGGTGTGAGTGTGCAGCCGTTTTCTCAACACAATAGCTTGCATAGTTTTATAACAGCTACTTTCATATCACTGCATATACTAATATAAATATTGCTAACTTCTTTAATAGAATATGTGAGCAGGAACCCTAACTTAGTATTTTTGTTCCCGCCACATTACCACCATTCGCTCCACTGGTCAAAGACAACAAAAATAAAGAAATCTGTAATCTTAAAACGTCAGAACCTGGTCAGAACCACAATGATTTGCCCAGTATTTACTGTTACTATAAACTGGATGTTGTTTTAAACTACACTGATCGATCGGCTTCACACACCGAGCCACCCTGCTTGAATGACACGGAGATCCGGTGCACCGCGCTTGATGCGTGGGCAGCCAAAAACTCGACGGTCGGCATTTCCCCCCGACTCATGCATGAAATAAAACTAATATACCATCGAAAAATAACCTGGATAACGTTTAAGAAACTATAATTACTCTTTCCAAACAGCATTTTTAGTGCCATTGAAAGTGTTCATAGAACTGCATACTGTATCTCAGGAATCGCCATGTTGTCATTCTGTCGTCTTTGAAGCTCTGGGAGAAAGGAACTGTCTCCATCTTTGTTTTTACTAAATGTCCGTTCTCAATATATTTCCTTCGACATGAAAACGACGGTTTACCCCGTTACAAACTGCCCATTACGGTCGTTCGTTCGACGACAAAGAATATTCCACTTCCCAAATGAAAGATGGTTTATCGTAGAAAAAGAATCTTTACTAAGGGTGTATTCGCAATCCTTTCCGCTGCTGTTGGGTTGGCTAATGGCGGGCAGACAGAATAGCTGCTCCTCTAACGCACGGCAGCGTTTAAAAGGGGCAATGGTTAGCTTGTAGCGAGCTAGCTTACTAAAAAATCATTGCATTTGTCATTAGTGACTGCTACAGCAGGCCATGAGAAGCTACTGCCCTACTGTTCCGAATTAAAATCAATATGTTTATCTGTTTCGCCCGGGTAAATTAAGCACACAAGTGCTTTTAGATGGAGACACAGGTTGTGTTTCGGTGTTTTTACTTGGGAAATACTGATCTTTGACGTTTGACAACAACTTTTTTTTTTGCAACGTATTGTTCAACACTGAATTGCGCAACCATTGTTAGTATTAACTGACTCAAACAAACTCCGCCTTTAGACTTGTTTTTCAGTATTTTACAGCAGATACATTTTAATTTCTTTGTTCAAAGCATGGGCCACTTTAATAAACAACACCACCCCCGATTAAAAAACGTTGTTGTTTTCAAGCTTGTTGTCTCCGTGATTTTGTGTACACAAAGTACCTTATTTTAATTAATCATGTTAACTTTGTTTAATATTTTTATTAAATATTTTTCAGTTGTTTAAGAATGAGTTGTAAGTATGACTTCTTAGTATAGTTTCACTAAATGCATAAAACAGCGTAGGTGACATTTTAAATGTGATATACTTTTCTACTTTTCAGGTACGAGAACTTGTCCTTGATAATTGTCGATCAGTTGAAGGAAAGATCGAAGGCCTCACAGCTGAGTTTGTCAACCTGGAGTTCCTCAGTTTGATAAATGTTGGCCTAATGTCCGTCTCCAACCTGCCTAAACTAGGAAAACTCAAAAAGGTAAAAATTACAATCATCCTATAAGTAAAAGTTGAACTATGATAAAAGTTCAGCTCGAATAACATTTCCTTCTACCGTGTTTCAGCTGGAGTTGAGCGACAACAGAATCAGCGGCGGCCTTGATGTTTTAGCAGAGAAACTTCCCAACCTTACACATCTA